ATCAGAGTTGTTACCTAGAACTTACCATCAAGGGTTGTTGCCTAGAACTTAACATCAAGAGTTGTTACCTAGAACTTACCATCAAGGGTTGTTACCTAGAACTTGCCATCAAGAGTTGTTACCTAGAACTTACCATCAAGGGTTGTTGCCTAGAACTTATCATCAAGGGTTGTTACCTAGAACTTACCATCAAGGGTTGTTGCCGAGAACTTAACATCAAGAGTCGTTACCTAGAACTTAACATCTAGGGTTGCTGCCTAGAACTTAGCTCAAACATTACAGTACAAAACCAAAAACGTACCAAGTCTGGTCCAAATCTATTGCCTTCTTGGCTAAGTGTCTCTCTAACAACCTATCACTTATGATTTTATGGGTTTTATGGTTCCCATAATTGTGTGTCATAATTTCATACAACACCAATCACATGACTGATTTCAACGAAATGTTGACTACTTAAAATTAACCCTTGCCATGCAATTGTGTCTAAAACTATTTCGGAATCAGTAAGATTTGGTAATTTTTTTTATGTGGTTATAATGTTGCTTTAACCCATATCTTGAAAATTATATTTTCATGCTAGTCATAAAATAATTAAATGATCATCAAATTGAAAATATAGTTTTGTTTATAGTGATAGTTGGAACATAAACATGTCTGAAATATGATTAAAACAAAATGGCTGCCAGTTGCCCCTTTAAATCTGATCTGAAATGGTGTGCATCAAGGTTCTATAATGCCCAATGTATGTACCAAGTTTGAACAAAATCAATCTGTAAACAGCCGAGATCCGGTTCGAAAATGCCAGAAATGCTTGATTTGGGTGATTTTTCAGCACAAAAATGGCCACCATTCGGCCATCTTGAATAAAATCATGAAACAAATTCATGTGCATTTGAATAATATTTTGTAAGATGTATGTGTGGAGTTATATTGTAATCGATACAGACACTTCTAAGATAGAGATATGGACGCACACATACTGACGGACACACATAGGTCAATCCATAATCCCTGTCTGAGCGGGAAATGAAAAGATAATTTTAAGTGAAATTTCAACAATATCTTGCCCAAGAACCTACACTGGTTAACAAAATGCAAAAGTTGAAAAAGTTTGGATATAAACTATTTGAGAACAGACATTTTCCACTCATATATCCCTTCTTCCATGATTCAGTCAAGGTGAAAACTATAATATGCAAGCCATACCAAAATTTATCTTGGGCAACGTTTTATATTGATTGACAAGATTTTCAAGTTGTAAATTGACCAGAATGTTCAACTTACTGTGAAATAAAAAAAAAAAAATTTCACTGATATTTGTGAATATTAAAGTGGTTAATATTATGTATCCATGGTAACTGGTTTGTTAAATGAGTGTAACCACAAGAAAAAAACAGCTGACATTTCATCTCCTGTACCTTTCCCTTCATCTAAAATGAAATGGTTATGAAATGGTCAAAGTAAACATGTATTAAATAATATATGTTTGGATGGATAAAATATTAATTAAATATATATAAAGTACTGTTATGTTAAAAGATTAACACATCTGCAGAGACCAACAATAAAAATACATAAATAAAACCAATGATACATGTGCATATACTACTGGTGAACATCTTTAATTCACAAGAGATAATTTGTTTGCAAATTAGCAGTAAAAATTTCACAGGGAATCTAACACGTCTTCATTAGTCACAGCAATATTTCATTCTCACAGGTTGTAAAAATATCAATCAAATTTCAGAAGTAAGTACATGTACAGTGAACATGAAAGCATTGCGGATAATGAAAATGGTCAGTTTTGATTAAAAATGAAGAAAAAAATATTTGCTAAAATTGAAGTTAATATTATTAAATAGTCAAATTGGAGAAAACACCAAAATTTGAATGGTATATATTAATAAGAAAACATTTTGAATCATGATTTACTGAGGAAAAATTGGAATTATTGATTAATAATAAAATATAATAAATTCATTGTATATGAAATAAATAGAACCAAAAAAGATAGTATTTACTACTCAAGATTTTGTTTCTGAATTATGTTCCAATCTAGCAAATAATGTTTTTATTTAAATCAAATTAATGAAAGTGCACAAAATAATACTTTATATTTTAAGCTGTTTTTTCCAATATTGTAACCAATCAGGACACAGGAAACTGGATATGTATTACATTCTCTTGGTCATTCTCAACCAAAAGCCATTTTGAGCATCCAACAAACCACCCTTCTTCAACTTCGGTGGAATCTGAAAAACATAGCATTATTTTACTGAACCACTGCAGAATCAAGTCACATTGCAGCACCAAGTCATATTGCAGCACCAAGTCATATTGCAGCACCAAGTCACATTGCAGCACCAAGTCACATTGCAGCACCAAGTAACATTGCAGCACCAAGTCACATTGCAACATCAAGTCACATTGCAACACCAAGTCACATTGCAGCACCAAGTCACACTGCAGCACCAAGTCACAATGCAGTATCTAGTCATACTGCAGAACTAAGTCACAATGCAGTATCTAGTCACACTGCAGCACCAAGTCACAACGCAGTATTTAGTCATACTGCAGAACTAAGTCACAATGCAATATCTAGTCATACTGCAGCACTAAGTCACTTTGCAACATCTAGTCATACTGCAGCACTAAGTCACAATGCAGCATCTAGTCACAATGCAGCATCTAGTCATACTGCAGCACCAAATCACATTGCAACATCTAGTCATACTGCAGCACCAAATCACATTGCAACATATAGTCATACTGCAACACCAAATCACCTTGCAACATCTAGTTACACTGCAGCAGCAAGTCACTTCGCAACATCAAGTCATACTGCAATATCAAGTCATACTACATAACTAAGTCACAATGCAGTATCTAGTCATACTGCAGCACCAAGTCACATTGCAACATCTAGTCATACTGCAGAGCCAAGTCACATTGCAACATCTAGTCATACTGCACACCAAGTCACATTGCAAGATCTAGTCATACTGCAGCACCAAGTCACTTCGCAACATCAAGTCATACTGCAATATCTAGTCATACTGCAGCACTAAATCACAATGTAGTATCTAGTCATACTGCTGCACCAAGTCATACTGCAGCACCAAGTCACACTGCAACATCTAGTCATACTGCAGTCAAGTCACATTGCAACATCTAGTTATACTGCGACACCAAGTCACACTGTCACATCAAGTCATACTGCAGCACCAAGTCACATTGCAAGATCTAGTCATACTGCAGCACCAAGTCACTTCGCAACATCAAGTCATACTGCAATATCTAGTCATACTGCAGCACTAAATCACAATGTAGTATCTAGTCATACTGCTGCACCAAGTCATACTGCAGCACCAAGTCACACTGCAACATCTAGTCATACTGCAGTCAAGTCACATTGCAACATCTAGTTATACTGCGACACCAAGTCACACTGTCACATCAAGTCATACTGCAGCACCAAGTCACAATGCAACATCTAGTTATACTGCAGCACTAAGTCACACTGCAACATCTAGTCATACTGCAGTCAAGTCACATTGCAACATCTAGTTATACTGCGACACCAAGTCACACTACCACATCAAGTCATACTGCAGCACCAAGTCACAATGTAACATCTAGTTATACTGCAGCACCAAGTCACACTGCACATCTAGTCATACTGTAGCACCAAGTAACTGCAACATCTAGTCACACTGCAGCACCAAATCACAATGCAACATCTAGTCATACTGCAGCACCAAATCACAATGCAACATCTAGTCATACTGCAGCACCAAGTAACAATGCAACATCTAGTCATACTGCAGCACAAGTAACAATGCAACATCTAGTCATACTGCAGCACCAAATCACAATGCAACATCTTAGTCATACTGAAGCACCAAGTCACACTACAACATCAAGTCATACTGCAGCACCAAGTAACAATGCAACATCTAGTCACACTGCAGCACCAAATCACAATGCAACATCTAGTAATACTGCAGCACCAAGTAACAATGCAACATCTAGTCACACTGTAGCACCAAGTCACGTTGCAATATCTAGTCATACTGCAGCACCAAATCACAATGCAACATCTAGTCATACTGCAGCACCAAGTCACCAAGCCACACTGCAACATCTAGTCATACTGCAGCACCAAGTAACAATGCAACATCTAGTCATACTGCAGCACCAAGTAACAATGCAACATCTAGTCATACTGCAGCACCAAATCACAATGCAACATCTAGTCATACTGCAGCACCAAGTCACCAAGCCACACTGCAACATCTAGTCATACTGCAGCACCAAGTAACAATGCAGCATCTAGTCATACTGCAGCACCAAGTCACATTGCAGCATCTAGTAATACTGCAGAGCCAAGTCACACTGCAACATCAAGTCATACTGCAGCACCAAGTCACACTGCAGCATAAAGTCATACTGCAGCACCAAGTAACAATGCAACATCTAGGCATACTGCAGCACCAAGTAACAATGCAACATCTAGTCATACTGCAGCACCAAATCACAATGCAACATCTAGTCATACTGCAGCACCAAGTCACACTGAAACATCAAGTCATACTGCAGCACCAAGTCACAATGCAGTATATAGTTATACTGCAGCACCAAGTCTCCTTGCAACATCTAGTCATGCAAGTCTGTCAGAATGTAACTACTTGACTTTTAACTAAATTCTGTCTACATACCTCGGTTTTGGAACATGGTTCCAATCTGAATTTCTGCAACACTTTAATCAAAGCAATCTTGGCTTCCATCAAAGCAAATCTCATTCCAATACAATTCCTTGGTCCAATTCCAAAAGGCATCCAAGCTAGTGGATGCCTCTTTTCCTTCTCTTCTTTAGTAAACCTGATAAAAGACATAAAATTTAACTCTAAAATGTATTGGGTGATTTAATTGTTGTATCAAACAGATTGTGCATGTGTTGAAGTCAATGCAGAATCTTTGTTGAATTTTGTGTTAACAACTACATGCAAGTCACAGTCATTAAAGCATTAGTCACATTTCACAAATACCCTAAAACTGAATATAATCTATCTCACCTTTCTGGCAGAAATCTATCTGGTTCAGGCCATAGTTCTGGATCATGGTGTATAACCCAAATTGGTACAATTATCCTCATGTCTTTCTTCAAGAATACACCTCCTATCTCAGTATCTCGGCAACATCGTCTGTCAGTCACTACGGCAGGTGGATACAACCTCAAAGATTCACACAACACCATGTCTAAATAGTTCATTTTACTAATCACTTCAAAGCTCAGTTGATGGCAGTCTTGCAAAGTGTCATTAATTTCATCTACCAGTCTGTCTTGTACCTCCACATTAGTCGCCAGCAGATAGGAAGTAAAGCTGAGACAGCTACTAACAGTGTCATACCCAGCTAAGAAAAACAAAAAGGACTAGAAAAAAAAAAATTGAAACATATTCAGGGAATTACTGGGATACAGATAATGTTTTACAACATTTCGCTCAATGATAGTAATGAATTAGTGATACCAACCCAGCAAAACTTTTATCTATGGGAGTTGTATCGATAGTCTTGTGTGGTGCATCAATGAAGCCATTGTTAGATATGATGGTGAACAGCTAATTTATGCAAGATATATCATATAAGTACAAACGTAATGATTTTTCCAAATTCAACAGTTGCTATATTTAGTGCATTATGTAAGTCATTAACAATATACTCACAATTTTTAAAATGAATTTATCTGAATGTTAATTTAGAAGTGACGCTCACCTGTATTTTATCGATTTATGTATAACGACAATGTGTCTTTTAATAAATGTACATTTTAAAAATCTTGTGCCAGAGATTCAGGGTAATGAACCAGTAGCAAAAATATTATGAATGTGAAGCCATTATTTATAATAAGTATAGAATAGGTACTAGATACAATAACCAGACAAATAGAATATGTATACACACAAAGATGGTTTGTTATGCACTCCTCCACATTTATAATGGTTTAGAACTAAATCTAAAATAAAGTTGGATGTACAAATGACTGACATGTCCTAGGATTTCATCCTTGCTCAATCCATGTTCTTTGTAAAAATCAAAATCATGATTTTCATCCAGTTTCTCATCATCTGTTATCTCACTGTCGTTATCCTTATGTGCATTCAACATCAACTGAAGAAAATCTACTCTCTGTAAAAAAAAGAAAGAAAATATTTGTTTTAAAGGAGCACGATCGAAGTATCCTTTACCCAGGGGGTTTTCAAGATAATCAAAATTAATTATCTAACCACTTGCTCAATAATGTACATTTTTCAGACTCTGAGGATGCATACCAATGACAGTATTGTTTTCGTTGGTTATCATAATGACTAAGATTGCTGCATCTTTGTTGATTTTAGATTTACAGAAGCCCCTCCAACAATGTTATACAATACTGGCCCATGTTGTTGATGTTCTACCATTAAGAGAAATTACTGTGTAATTTAATGTACAGCATCAGTATAAAACATAAATGTTATGCTTTCAGTGATCACATTTCAGTGATGGATATTACAAATTGGCACTAATGACATTAGAATAACAATTCTGAGAAAAAATATCAAGTAAGAGCTATTGCCACTTTAACATATGGTTACATACCTTTGTCTCTTGATCCTCACCATCACCATGTCTAAACTCCATGGCTTTTTCAATAACATCAACAAAGAATGCTACTGTTTCCTTGGAAATTATCTGGTAACCAAATACCCTCTCAAGAAACTTGGATGTAGAAGGAAAGACCACTGAAAAATATTGTATTAAATAATATAATAATAACTATCCCCTTTTTGTGGTGTTTTATTTTACAAGTTTCTAATAATCCAGAATTGCAGAAATGCTTGATTTGATGCATTTTTAAAATGGTAGAAATTCGACCATGCATTGTGAATTGAATTATGGAATAAATACATTTGTGTAGGTGTGGTATATGATCAAAGGTTTATAAATCTATATGCAGCTTTGTGAAATGATATATCATGAAGACCTCACAAAAAGTAAATACTTTCATGCCTTACATGGTAAGCGTTTGAAACCGGTTCCTCTTTCGTGCATGTCAAACAAACATATTTTTATACAAAACAGTGTCACTGTCAGATGCGCAGTGGACAAGGAAGGTTCGATTGTGTATAAGCAGGATTTTTTGCCGCATTTAAAAACAAATGTATCACGTTTTTCAGGCAGGTCTTTTCAACCTCACTAATTTACATTAGAACGTCTGGAAATACAGTTTGTAATTGGACCTCTTCAATCTGTGCAAGAACTTGATCACACCACACACACCTCTTCTTATAAATACTTGATATGTATGCATGAACTTGGAACATGAACAGTCCACCCAGATGTACCCAGACATACACAGTCACCCTTTTCAGACTTTATTTAAACAGCAATCCAGCAATTAATGCATGGTGGTGCGAAATTATTTGAATTCAATGTATCCAATCAGTAAATGCCAATGTTTTTGGTCGGTTTTCAAAGAGTTTATCAGGGTGATTTGGACAGGTTTCATCGTATTTGATGTAAACATTATTTGAGATCCATAATTTCATATTTAAGGTTGGTATTTACAAATATTTATAATTTCATTTATAAACTATAACATGTTTCTACCATGCAATGTATTTACATATTACTTACATATTATCAACAATAATGGATTGTAGATATTAAAATTCAATATGGATTTAGCGTACTTCACAAACTGATCGTCTGGGTTGTTTTGTGAATCTACTTGTAAACCAAATGCAGCACTCGCTATACAGTCCATACTGAACCACCAAAGACCCTGAAAAAACAATTAATACACAGGGTTGTAACAGTAATTAAGATTAATTTTCAGTTAATTATCTGGGAAACAACACCCAGATTAATAATACCAAACAAGAACAATAGTTTCCCATGATGCAATGGTTCACTTTCTACTAATTACTATTTCTTGATATCATGAAAATTGATAAAAACATTGCAACAAATTATTATTGTAAAAACAAATGCAAACACAAAAAGTGGTTTGAATAACATCACTTGGTGTACATTTGCAACAGATCTGTAAGTGAATTAAAATTCACCGAGTACCATACATGTAAATAAAAAAAATTGCTTATTAGTAGAAAATTGTGAGATATTGTTGTGCACATTATCCTTCTAAATTTACACCCCATATAAGATCGAAAATTTATAATTACTGGATGCAACATATGCACATTGATAATGAGATCACAAACCTTAGAAAACGATAGTTTTGAATTCATTTCATCTGACCTGAAATAGAACTTTTCAGCTACTGTAAAATACTTTATTTTAGTTGAAATTAATTTTCGCTAAAAAGACTTTTTGGGTGTTTTGTATGAAATTTATTTTCACTGATTTTTTACAAGTTGAATGTAAAATATAGAAAAATGGGTATATTCGCTAGATTTTATTTTCACTGAATCATTCCTTCAGCGAAAATTAATTCCAAGCGAATATAAAGTATTTTATAGTCATCTATTTAAACCCAACTGAACCTACATGGTGTAGCTAAAACAAGAATTTGAGTTCCGATACAAACACATACTTTTTAAATTCTACATCTTTTCCATCTTCTACAGCTTTCTCCAAAATTGTAACCATGGTATCAGCACATTTATTAAGCATACCTGCCATCTGAAATATGAATCAAGAACATCTTCAATTTTAATGGTGATACAAGCCATGTATGAATCAAGTAATCAACTCAGACTCCAATTTGAATGAAATCGATTCTTAATTAATGTTTGAAAAAACAGAGGTCAATGTCTGATATATTTACCTGTCTCATCTTAGATCCAGTAAATGCGGGTGACAATACATTACGTGCATGCTTCCAATGGTCACCTTCCAATGACGTCAATCCATCTGATAATGGTTTAACTTTGACTGGTGATTTCTGTTCAAAACAATAAAAGCTATGCATTATGTTTTACACATGATGAAAGAAAATAGTATATACCGGTAGTTAAACAAATACCCTGGATAATTAAAAAATATGAATATTGCATCCTCAAAAAAGTATGTAATATTTTACTATAACTATATGTCACATGTAGAAGCATCACAGAAAATGAAAACCTTCAAAAAAATTGAAACATTAACATAGTTAAACAATTGAGACCTTGTCCTTGATGAATTATCCAATTACACAATCACTGTCATACAATAATGATCTGAAAAAAACAGCAAGGAAAACTTTGTATAAATCTTACCTTTCTATTTGGGAAATCAGCAAATCTTTTAACTAAGATTTCTTTTAATAGATCTAAATCAGATGTTACTAAGATTGGAGTTCTGGCAAGATAGAGACTACAAAATATAAAAAAAA